GTAGGGTGTTGATGGCAGTGTGGGGTGTAGGTGGCAGTGTGGGGTGTAGGTGGTAGTGTGGGGTGTAGGTGGCAGTGTGGGGTGTAGGTGGTAGTGTGGGGTGTAGGTGGCAGTGTGGGGTGTAGGTGGTAGTGTGTAGTATATAAAATATTCCTTACAAATGTGGCACCATTTAAAAGGTAAATTAACAGGCTTTACAGCGGTATAATATCTATTGTCATGGAGCATTGTTACAATAAATAAATAATCTACCAAACACAGATTTCCTGACTTTTTGTTTGAGTTCAGATGAAGCTGTAATTCTGTAAATGACCGCAAGGAGGCGGAGGGTGCGTCGCTCCAGCAGAGTGAACCTCCAGAAGAAGAAGAACCGGAATCACAACAAACACCCGGTTCATGGATCCTCGTCAGGAGTGTTTATATTTAAATCTGCTCTGAACAGGTTTGTGCTGCAGGATTTTATTCAGACTTAATGTTTTAAATGCGTCACAGTGAGTTTTATCGGTCCGAACTGCATGCTGGGTGTTTTAAACCGGATGTTTGAATTAAAATGAATCAGAAACGACTTCAGATTATAATATGTCAAAATTATAATCTGTTAGCAAAATATCTGTCTGGATGTCTCATAATAAACAACCCAACGCTCCAGCTCAGCCAGTTTTACTGATGTGGATTTGTTTTTTGGGTGGTAGTAGCTGAGAGTCATCCTAATATTTACAGGTTTGACTGAAAAAAAACTGAAAACTAATAAAACTAAAAGGCTAAAGCTAACAAACCTACAAGCTAAACTAACTAAACTACAAGCTCAAACTAACCTACAAGCTAAACTAACTAAACTAAACTACAAGCTAAAACTAACCTACAAGCTAAACTAACTAAACTAAACTACAAGCTAAAACTAAGAAAACTACAAGCCAAAGCTAACAAACCTACGAGCTAAAGCTAACAAAACTACTAGCTAAAGCTAACAAAACTACTAGCTAAAGCTAACAAAACCAAGCTAAAGCTAACAAAACTACAAGCCAAAGCTAACAAACCTACGAGCTAAAGCTAACAAAACTACTAGCTAAAGCTAACAAAACTACTAGCTAAAACTAACAAACCTACAAGCTAAAGCTAACAAAACCAAGCTAAAGCTAACAAAACTACAAGCCAAAGCTAACAAACTTACAAGCTAAAGCTAACAAACCTACAAGCTAAAACTAAAAAACTACAAGCTAAAGCTAACAAAGCTACAAGCTAATGCTAACTAACAGCCAAAGCTAACAAACCTACAAGCTAATGCTAACTACCAGCCACAGCTAACAAACATACAAGCTAATGCTAACTAAAAGCCAAAGCTAACAAAGCTACAAGCTAAAAGTTTTTCAGAATAAAATGACCTCAGTGTAAAAACTATTTATTTTATGACTCAGATGTGACCGCGATGTTCTGATGTAAGAATTTAAAGAGATTTAATTTTTTAGCTCTACTGGACCGGCTCAGACCGGACCGGCTCAGACCGGACCGGCTCAGACCGGACCGGCTCAGACCGGACCGGCTCAGTTCCCTCTAACGTTGGGTTTTGTTTTTCAGAGCTGCGCCTCGGCGATGAGCAGCAGTTTCCTCCTCCTGCTGTCCCACACAGACCTCCGCAGGTGGCCGGTCCTGCTGGTCCGGTCCCGGCACTCGGTTCTGCTCAGGAGGTTCTGTTCGGGTGTTCGGATCAGCCGCAGCCTGCAGGAGAAGTACCGCCTCCTGCAGCTGCCTGAGGAGGAGCGCAGCAGCCCTGAGCAGGTGAGGAGCGCCTACCTGCGCCTCGCCAAGCTCTACCACCCGGACTCCGGCGCCGCCACGGCCGACCCGGTTCTGTTTGCTCGGGTGGAGGAGGCCTACCGGGCGGTTCTGACCCATCAGTGCAGAACCCGTCTCTCTGATGGAGCGGAGGAGGAGGAGGAGGAGCAGAGGTCCAGGTGGGTGGCTCTGCAGCACCGACACTACCTGAGCTACGACGGCGTGGGCTCGGGCCCGCCCGGCCAGCGGGAACGTCAGTACCAGCAGGCCCGTGTGGACCGGGCCGCAGAGCAGGTTCTGGACTACAGGCGGAGGGAGCAGGAGCGCGCGGCGGCGGGGGCGGCGCTGCTGCAGCGGGACGTGCGCCAGCGCAGCAGGAGGATCACGCAGGCCGTGGAGCGGCTGGTGGAGGACCTGATCCAGGAGTCCATGGCCCGCGGAGACTTCCAGAACCTGAGCGGCACCGGGAAACCCCTCAACAAGTTCCAGCACAACCCGTACGCCGACCCCATGACCCACAACCTGAACCGCATCCTGGTGGACAACGGCTACCAGCCCCCCTGGGTGGCCACGCTGCGGGACATCAGGGAGGCCGCGGGCCGGGTCCGAGACCGGCTGCTGGAGGGCCGGGCCCGGCTGGGCGACCCGATGAGCCCGGCGGAGCGGGACCAGTGGGAGCGGCTGTGCGGCTCGGTCCAGGAGGAGCTGCTGAGGCTCAACAAGAAGGTGGACCTCTTCAACCTGACCGTCCCCTCCCTCAGCATGCAGATGGTCCACTTCAGCCTGACCCGGGAGGCCGACCGGGCCACGAGACGGGCCGAGCAGCGCCGAGCCGACCTGCAGACGGAGAGAGAGAGGGAACGACAGAGGAGGAAGGAGGAGAAGAAGAGAAGCAACGCTGCTGCTAAAGCTAATAACGCTAATAAAGCTAAAGAACCAGGACTCCTGTCCTGGGTGCAGAACTTCCTCCGGTTCTGACGGGTCCAAAAACCCAACCAGAACCTTCAGGTTTCATTAGATGAAAACCTCTGAACACGTTATTTTAAAGCTTTAATGGGTTTTTCTCCTGATGGTTCCGGTGTTCTGCTTTATTATTCAGACAAATCTTTAATTTATTTAAAAAAACTATAAATTAAATAATAATTATTTAAATTTTTCAGGTTTTGAGTCAAATCTTTAATTTATTTAAAATATATATTTATATAAATTAAATAATAATTTATATTTTAAAAATTATTAATTAAATAATAATAATAATAATAATATATTTTTCAGGTTTTGAGTCAAATCTGTCGTTTATCTTTAATATTTTTCAAACGTGTGAAAAAGAAACGAGTCAGACGAGCAGAGAAACTTTAATCAGATTCAAAGGTTCTGATTCTGCAGGTTCTGATTCTGCAGGTTCTTCCAGACCTGAAACTCAAACTGGACTCAGAGTTTTACAAACTTCAAGTCGACCCGAACTGGAAGGAACAGTCCAGAACCTGGTTCCTTTCAAGGTTCTGATGGTTGTTGGTTCTTAGATTAAAGAAAAATAAACCCGGGTCGATTCAAAGGTTCTGATTCTGACCTGAAACCTGTCAGGGTGTATGGCGTTACATTTGTGCCACCGGTGTGAGTGCAGTAACACACATACCAACATGAACGACCCAAGTTGTGTGTAAATGAACCACATCAGCAGCCAATCACAGACAGGCTTCTTTCATCCAATCAAAGCACTTGTTGTAAATCTACTGAAGTGACAAAATCTTAGATGTATTAAATCAGCAAAAGATAATAAGATATATTTTATATTTTTAATTAAGCATACAAATATACTTACTGTTGTGTATTTTAGGCAATACATCTCTGTGATCCAGGTAGAAAAAAAAACAGGTTTAACTTTTTTAAATTATTATTATTATTATTATTACTGTTAGGATTTTATATGCAATATTCATTAAAGTGCCTGTGACACGCCTACCCTTCAAACACAAAAAGTCAAAGAAAACATCTTTATACTTGCATAACTGGCCTATTTTCTTTTGAATTTGGCTCAGCCAAAGTGAAACAGGAAGTGACATCAAAGGGGAACTCATTAATAAAATAAACTCTCTGGTCTTTGTTTATTCAAAGAAAACTATTTAAACTTTAAATCTTCTTCATTTCTCTTTGATAGCAACTAAAAATAATCTAAAGAAACACCAGATATTTGTCTGTGTTGTTAGCTTTTGTAACAACACTCTTTATATGCCGACATTCCCCTTTGACATCACTTCCTGTTACTTTAAACACAAATATCTCAACAACTGTTCATCTTAACGACGTGAAATTTGTTTTGCAACATGTTTTCAATGTTATCTTTCCAAAAACACATTCGTGTTTATTATAAAAAATTTGATGACACAGGTTCTTTAATTACATTAAGATAAATTACTGTTGGTTTTGATATTATTCGTAGATATTATAATTAATTTATTAGTCCCTCGTCAATGCTGATATTCTGTTGTATCAAGAGTGCTTATACAATTTGAATATCTACAAATAATATCAAAACCAACAAGTAGTGAATCTTAATGTGTTTTAGAAATATTTTATAAAATAAACAATGACAGTGACCACATTTTTATGCTCAACTAACTATTGTTGTTACAAAATTTAAACATATTATCTTTTGCTGGTTTAATGCGTCTAAGATTTTGTCACTTCTGCCTCTTGGTTTAGTAGATTTATAATAAGAGCTTTGATTGGATGAGATGAACCATGTGATTGGCTGCTGATGTGGTTCATTTACACACAACTTGGATTGTCAGAATAATCTGAATGGGTTGTTTAAATTATGCATTTTTATTCTGAATGGTTTAATCTGATTACTGATGTCCATGTAAACGTAGTTATTGTTTCTCTGCTCAGACTAGTGGCACAAATGTAACTCCATACAGCTTCTGGTCTCTTCCTGTCACCCAGACTTTCCTGAACCCTGTTGAAGTGGTCCGGATCATCGGTTCTGGAGACATTTTCATTGGAAGTGAGTTCACAAAGAACCGTTGATCCGGACCAGGTTCTGCTCCAGAACCTCTGGTTGTTTTGGGTCACTGTCCGTCCTGCAGGGCGGCGGGGTTCCAGATGACCACGGACCCCAGGTTCTGGGCCTCCCTCTGCAGGGCCTCAGCCACGGCCCTGGACGGCGGCGGCGGCGGCGGCGGCGCGGCGGCGGTCCAGTCGTGGGCGATGTACTGATGGTACGGGTCCTGGGAGCTCTCCAGCTTCTTGGAGCGGATGTAGCTGAACATGATGCCGAAGGTGAAGAAGCTGAACATGCCCACCACCAGCAGGACGTACAGGACCCCCTGAGGCTCTGCCCGGGCCCCGGCTGGCCCCGCCTCCTGCAGGGCATGATGGGAGGTGGAGTTCTGAGGCTGCGGGGGGAGGCCCGAGCTGTTGAAGCAGTGCTGCAGGAGAGCGAGCAGGATGGACTGCAGCTCGCTGCTGTTGGTGTGAATCATGGCTGACCTCTGGTGGACAGTCAGGAGACTGCAGCTGCAAAATAAATCATGTTTTTATAAAACAGGTAAAAACAAAGAAGTTCTGCAGCTGAATCTGAACGAATCAAATGTTTTTAAACTGAGACGTCAGAAATACTCAATGTTAACAAGAATTCTGTAAAAATGAAATTTTTATTTATTAAAGAGTTTTTATATATTTCATGATCAGATCAGCGTGTGTCTGATCCTGAATTAAACTTTTAAAGTTTTAAAAAGTTATTTTTAATCTGAAGTGAGACAAAAAGAGAAGATTAAACTGATTAAAATACGTTTAATCAAATGAACCTGTTAGTTTCTGTCTGTGGTCCTGATAATCCAGAATAAAAACATCTCAGATTAGAGTCAGGAACGTACCTGTGGAGGGTCAGGAGTCGTTCTGCAGAGACCCTGAAGGACAAACCTGCACCTCCTGTCTCAGGCTGCAGGATGGAGCAGTGAGGAGGAGACGGCGTGAGGTGAGCTCCACCAGTTTAATCAAACCTCAGGTCACAGAAAAGGTCACGACCTCTGAGTCCCCCCAGGTCTGAGGAGGATCAGGATCCTCTTCAGACTGACAGAGTCCTTCACAACGTGCTGAGCTTTAATGTTGTGTATTCAGGTGTGTGTGTGTGTGTGTGTGTGTGTGTGTGTCTGAGAGAGAGCTTGAGAACAAAGCTGCTCTCAGACTGAAGGAGGTCAGAATCTTCTGCAGCAGGAAGGAGATTAAATTACAACCTGACCTCCTCGACGTCCTCTAACTCCATGACCGCTGTGTGTCTGTGTGTGTGTGTGTGTGTGTGTGTGTGTGTGTGTGTGTGTGTGTGTGAGGACATCATGTTTGTTTTAAGATGAACAGAACCAAACTGGTTTCTTCAGACTGAAGTTCTGATTGGACCGCTGTGTGTGTGTGTGTGTGTGTGTGTGTGTGTGTGTGTGTGTGTGTGTGTGTGTGTGT